ACCACAAGCACAACAATAATGTCGTGCTGAACGATCTTCAAGGATCGAAAATATAACATCATTGATTAAATGTACGGGGAGACTTTTTACAGCCGCCACACGGCACAAAAAACACGGATGTGATCATAAAATAGATAAATACAGAATCTCTAAAGAAAGCCCAACACGGCAAAATGAAAATGTTGCAGGCTCGGTTTGATTGAGCCTGTTCATGGACGGTACTGGAAAGTGCAAGTTACCGTCCACGCCCCCCTAGCACCGGCTTAAGCAGAATTCAACATTAAACGTGAAAATAGCATTTTCATTGATTAAAATCACATTCATCCGCCTAATTTGTGATTGTGCATTTATTGACAATTCTATTTATAGCCAACTCTACTTTTAAACTTTAAATGCGATGTAATTTGTTGGATACTTGTAACAAAATAAAAATATTTCTTTCTTTAAAATCGCTAGTTTTAAGCTGTTCTTGATAACTACTAGTTTGTTGTTAGGTTTGTCGGGAAACTTCTGTGTCAGAGATTGAATGTGAGCTTTGTATTTACTGATCTTCGATCAGAAAATACAAAAACAAAAATAAAAAACACTTTCGGGCATATAATGCTCCACCTATCGAGTTTTCATTTTGATCTACACCTATCAACGCCGCTTTTAGGTCCGAGCCGCGTAAGTGTCTTCGAATTCTTTCATGTGGGGAAAATTATCCAGTTTGCTTACGGAACGTCGGGTGGTTCTACTCAGGTGTCCGTTTGTGCCTGAAAAAAAATGCACAGAGTGGCACATGATGTCTTCAACCATCATTAAAACTGAAAATTCACTATGCAGATTATTCTGTGGAAGTGCGACGTTAAATCCTACAAAAACATCAACACTATCCTTGCCAAATAAATAGAGGATATTTGTTTGTTTTGCATGTAAGATTGAAATATATAATTTCACTGAGTGGACAGCAGTGAAAATATAATAGCTGGGTTCTCGAATGAAATATATATAGGATAGTGTTGATAATTTTGGTAGGGTTTTACGTCGAGCATTCTTCTTTGTGACGTCATCACACATCATGACGTCACATCATCAATTTTGAAATATAGTTCTGTTAAATTTCTCTAATTTTGTTACATTTTTAACATGATGTATAGTGACATCGACTTTCTTTCCTAAAGAAGCAAAGTTTACGGCATTTACTTCTGCCTGTTATTTCATTTAGTTATGATTTTCTTTTTCATCCGCACTCAGATAGAGTCCGGCTAGGGTGAAAATTATATTTTATACATTTTACTTGTGGTTTATCAGAATATAATCACCTGATATATTACAAAAAAAACAATGGAAAGCATGAAATAAGAAAGTGATATTAACCTTAAACAAGGCCAGTCTGACAAGGCTTTATACTATTAGCCTGACTTAGATCTATGTACTTTAAAATTGTTTCTTAATACTTCAAGACAAATCCAAAAGAGGAAAAATTAGGTAAGAAATTCAGGAGTTCAATGGTTAATTATTATGCAATATAATTATATTGTTGTTACTTGATAATGTATAATAGTCGTACTTTATAATGTATAATAGTCGTAATTTATAATGTATAATAGTCGTACTTTAACGTCGTTTTTCATTGGATAATCATGACGTTTATATAATCTATCTACACGACAACATTCAATTAATTATGAATCAATTTCATTTTTCCTCTTATGAAGAATGTTTGCAGTTTTATAAACGCCTGGGGTTATATATACAAACAACCGTTTATATTGGGCCATATAGCCTGTCTAAGATCTGTATAACTAATAAACATACTCGATGCTAACTAAATGTATTGCAAACAAGCCTTAAATGAAATGGCGTATGAATTTATGAAAAGTTATTTTGAAAACAATGTACATTCGTCTTAATGAGAAGTTTTTACATGCTATTTATATAGTTTTCATCTTTTGGGGGTTATTTGATATTTATTTAAAGACATTCCATATTCAAGTGGGGGGGGGGGGGGGTGAGTTTTTCCTAGTTTTGTACCTAAATTAAGGATTTTGTAAGTCTATAGAACTTCTTTCTGGACCAAGCCTGTTTACGTCCGGATTGAAAATTACTAAATAATTCAAACGAAGTTTCGGAACACCTCGCCTATTACCTATATTCGAGTCCCCAACAAAGTCAGTTTTGTTATCATGTGGTATTAAATTCTCTGGTTTTGATTGGCCTACAGCAATCGGTGTAAGGGTAGAAATGCTAAGTTTCAATGTATAAACATTGACCTAGTCTTAATCGTTCCAGGAACCTTTAATTTTGATATATTCCATATCATGTTCTGTGGTCAATGTTTTATTCTACCCGTGATATACATTTGTAGCTTACGTATAATTCTACACACAAATATTTATGGAACGCCTGGACTGTCTTATGTTAAGAATGAATGATATACCTGGTTAAATGTCTTTCTGTTGAGTCCGAGATACAAATGCAGGGTGGAAATCCTAATGTGCTCAGTTATTGAAGTGTAATGTTGTGTGCTGACTGTATTTTATTCAGTCAAGTCAAAGTATAATCGGATGCATAAGTCGTTATGTTCAGTTCTTAAAACAAACAGACATGTGGTAACACAATTATGTTGAGTTAAAAAGATATGTTGTAGGGTGTTACAGTTATTATGTTAGGTTATAATAAATATGCTGTTTGGTGCTGTTCTCATCATGTTCAACCATGAAAATAAACAGTTGAGTGGTACTATCATTTTGTTTGGCTGAGGCAGTGTATTATTGGGTGATACTTTTATTATTTTCAGTTGAAAGGACTTGCTGTTGGGTGCTTTATTCCTTCTGTTCAGTCGTGAAATAGAACTGTTAAATGGTACAATCATTATCTTAAATGGTACTATCATTATCTCTTGTGTGCTGATTATATCTTCTCCAGTCAAGTCAATGTGTTGTTCGGTGCAAAAGGTCGTTATATTCAGTGGTTTTTGGTACTATCATAATGTTCAGTTCAGATGATAAACTGTTCGGTGCTGAGGTCATTATGTTCAATAGTGAACACAAACTGGTGTGTGATACCACAATTATGTTGGGTTCATTCGGATATTTTCGGGCAACAAAATGGGAGCGACTAATTTTCATAGGGTCAGTCGAGGCTTTACCATGACCCACCTAACGATTGCCAAAAACAATTTTTTTCCCCGTAAATTCATCGGGGGCTTAAGAAAAGTTTAATTTACATAAATGGGACCCTTTTAAAATTTCCCAATTTGGGGGTTTTTTTTAGTTAATTTATGACCTTTTACTATACTGTTTTAGTTTATAAAAAGGGGTTTCAGTATATTAAAAAATTAAAAAATTGGGTAAGGGTTAAACCTTTTTAAAATCACAAAATGACCACCGTAAATAAAAACCCCTTAAAAAATTTTTTCCTGTTTTGGGAAAACCCATAAGGGGTTTACAAATGGACACAGCAAACGGAAAATTTTAAATATAAAAACATATAACAAGTAAGGGGGAAACCCCATTTTTCGTCAAAACAAGGGCCCCAGTATATGGAGCATTTTAAGTAAGGGGAGCCAATTAAAAATCAAAAAATGGGCCACCCGCATATGCAAATTAAAAAATATGTGTTGGTTAAACCCCTTTGGGAAATGACACATAACCCAAAAACAATGGAACATTAAAATTTAAGAAGGACCAAACCCATTTGAGTCACCCCATTTGGGCCCCAGTATATGGAAAATTAAATATAAGTAAAGGGGAGCCCCAATTAAAAGTCCACATAAACCCCATTATGGAAATTCCCATATAAGTAAAGGGGTTTAAACTAATTTAGTCACACCCAGGGCCCAAAAAATTTTTGAACATTATGTTTTTAAAAAGGGAAAACTTTTTTGAGTTTACACATAACTAAATATAAAGGAAAAATTTTATATAAATAAGTGTAGCCTTTAAAAAAAATAGAAATCTTTACAAGAACATTTTTCCCCGACTTAAAACAAAAAGTTAAAATTTTTTGGCCATGTGCGATCAAAATTTGGTTTTACTTTCTTATTTTAGAATTTTTTCTATACTTTGGCCATGTTTTGACTTTATTAGGCTACCCTTACTTATTATAAAATGTTTCATTTACTGTGGTCATGAGTGTCTCAAATGGGGTTTCAATACTTATATTTAACGTTCAGTATACTGTGGCCATGTGTGGTTCAAATAGGTTTGCCTTACTTGTATATTATGTTGAATATTTTAAATTTCGTTTGATGTTGTCACTTGTGAATCTAAAAAATTACCAACACATATATTTTAAATTTTATTTGCGGCGGTCATGTGTGACTTGAACACGCTACCCTTACCAATATTTTAAGTTTTATATACTTTGTCCATTATGACTGTAACAATATAGTATAGTCATAAATTAACTTGATAAAATACCCATTGGGTATTTAATATGCCATACGATCTGTCCAATTTATGGAAATAACGTTTTTAAGCTCCCGATGGTATTTACGAGGAAGAAAGTTGTTTTGGCAATTGAGTAGTCATTAGCCTCGACTATGGACATTAGTTGCTCCCGCCCGCCACCTTGTTTGACGCGAAGATATCCGAATGAACCCAACATAATTGTTTGACCACTCAGCGCATTGTCAAATGACTTGTGCACCGAACAGTATATCATCTGAACTGAACATAATGACGGTATCACACAACTGTTTGTTTTAAGAACTGAACAGAATGACCTCTGCACCGAACAGTACATCATCTGAACTGAACATAATGACCTCTGCACCGAACAGTACATCATCTGAACTGAACACAATAACCTCTGCACCGAACAGTATGTCATCTGAACTGAACATAATGACCGTATCACAACACAGTTTGTCTTCAACACTGAACATAATTACCTTTGCACCGAACAGTATATCATCTGAACTGAACATTAAGATAGTATCACACAACAGTTTGTGTTCACTACTGAACATAATGACCTCTGCACCGGACAGTTTATCATCTGAACTGAACATAATGACGGTATCACAACACAGTTTGTCTTCAACACTGAACGTAATTACCTTTGCACCGAACAGTATATCATCTGAACTGAACATTATGATAGTATCACACAACAGTTTGTGTTCACTACTGAACATAATGACCTCTGCACCGGACAGTTTATCATCTGAACTGAACATAATGATAGTACTATTCAACAGTTCTATTTCACGGCTGAACAGTCTGAATAAAGCACCCAACAGCATGCCATTGCAACTGAAAATAATTAAAGTATCACCCAATAATACACTGCCTCAGCCAAACGAAATGATAGTACCACTCAAATGTTGATTTTCATGGTTGAACATGATGAGAAGAGCTATTTTAACCGAACATAACAACTGTCACACCCTACAACATATCTTTTTAACTCAACATAATTGTGTTACCACATGCCTGTTTGTTTTAAGAACTGAACAGAACGACTAATGCGCCCAGTATATTGGGATTTTGACCCAGCATATTATATCTCGGACTTAACAGAATGACATTTAACCATGTATATCAGTCATTCTACACATAAGATAGTCTAGGCGTTCCAATAAATATTATCTGTTTCAGTGCTTGGGAGTGCATGCACGGGGGCCGCTGACTGCGACGTTACGAACTCAGTTTGTTCAAACAATGTGTGCGCCTGTGCCAATGGATATAGGGACACATCGACCAACTGTTGGCTAGGTTCGTTTTTTCCACAATTTTATTACTTACTTAATGTTTCGCCTGTTATTACAGGTATTAACGACATATTTTATCCATGTGAGTTATATGACCCATGCAGACAAAGATCAGCCGGCACATCCTCGTCATGTTATTATGACCTGCACAGTTCGCTTTCGGTCACTTCTTCTCAATAACATCATTGAATGGTTATTTTGATGGTGATTTGACCATTTTTTGCGAAACGCCTATGGTCTATACCGGCCATGTAAAATGGTTTAAGTCACATACTACGTCACTACATTCATTTTCATTACATAATTATATACTTGTTAATATTTCAACCATAAGATTCATCATATGTGTGTTATCTTGTAGTTCTAGGCGAGAGCTGTAAGGCGGAGTCTGCATGTACTACGTATGTAAACAATTCTGAGTGCACGAGTTTTACGTGCAGTTGCATTACTGGGTACCAACCGGACAATGATCTGTGCACGGCGGGTAATTATTATTTATCAGTTTATGTTCCTTTTTAGCACTGTTTATTTTTCATTTTTTATTCTACACCCATCAAAACCGCTTTAGGTTTCCAGGGGCGCTTGTGTCTTTTTCGAATTCTTTATTGGGGGAAAAATTTTTTTCCCGCTTTGCTTAAAAAAGGGCGGTTTCTTTCTACTTTAAGGGGCCCTTTGGGGCCTGAAAGAAAGCACAGAGGGGACCTGAGGTTTACTACCAGTTAAAAAATGAAAAAATCGCTTTTCGAAATTTTACTTTTGGTGGGGCGACGTTAAAAACCCACCAAAAAATCAACATATCCCCTTTCCCAAATAAGGAAAATTTTATACTTTATTAAAAAAGGCCTTCCCGAAAAAGGCCTTTTTTACTTAAATTGGCTGAAATTACTTTTAAATTTTTTCTTAATACCCTTTTAAAACAGATTCAAAAATTGGGGAAAGGAATACGTAAGAAATTCAGGGAGCCCAATTTGGGTTTAAATTTTTATGCAATATAATTATATCGTTTTTACTTATAAATAATGTTTAATACTCGTTCTCTAACGTCGTTTTTCATTGGATAAGCATGACGTTTATTTAATCTATATTCACGGCAACATTCAAATTATTATGAATCAATTTCATTTTTTCATCTTACGAAGAATGTTTGCAGTATTATAACGACTCGGGTTATATATACAAACAACCGTTTATATTGGGCCATATAACCTGTCTAAGATCTGTATAACTAATAATATAATTGATGCTAACTAAATGTATTGCAAACAAGTCTTAAATAAAATGGTGTATAAATTTATGTAACGTTATTTAAGAAATAATATATCCCAAACTGTGATTTTATCGCTCAATAACATCACTGTTTGGAGTTCGGATGCGAGGAATTATCAGTAGCGTAGCCGAGCATACGCCAGTACGCCGTAGGCGTACTTAACGAAAATGAATTTTAAAAAATCAAAAAGTCTTAAATGTTGAAAACAGTTGTCCAAATCAGTACCCTAACCCATGTTAGGCATCGCCGTGAGTTTTGACGAAGAAAAAAAAAGGATTTGCTGACAAAAAATATTTTGTTATTAAGCGATTTAAACAGTGTATCGGTAACTTTTGTTGCAAATGTAGAACAGTTAGTACTATTTTAGGTAAAACAGTGTCATGCGTATTGACTTTTTAGTATCTTATCGTAGAATCCTATTATATTCCGAATGTTGTTTACATAAGAAGTTATACTAGCGGGAAAAATGGCGTCCCAATGTAAAACGTCCGAAGAACATGGGCCTCCATATGTTGATATTTTCAACTGCACCGTTTTAAACGATGAACAGAAAGTCACTAAATATTAAAGTCAGATTGGCCCGATGTCCATAAATATGCATTTAAATCGAGGTAAGTTTATGCAGATCAAGAAATTTAAAGTAGGTAAAATAATGCAATTTGTCATTAAATCATATTCAAATGTATTTTTTAGTCTATCAAATTACATCAAATATTATTCTATTTTGTTTTTAACTAAATCTATAATAATCTGAAATAAAGAGTCATTTTTAAACGTTGTCTAGGGCGTACGGACGAAGCTACCTTTACCAGGGAAGTGAGAAAATAGGTTACATGTTGGACAAATGGAGCACTTGCGTCGGACTGTCCACAAGCTCCTGATACACTCCTAGGAACATTACCACTGGCTAATGAGCATTACTATCCCAATGTCCATCGTTGTTTGTTAGTACTGCTCACTATGCCTGTGTCTACGGCTACAGCTGAACTATCTTTCAGCACCATGAAGAGATCTACCATGACTAGAGAACGGCTGTTTGGGCTTGGCCTAATGAATATTTACAGAGACATGAACATTTACTCCGATTATATAGTTGATTAACTTGCTGCAAGAAAACAATGCCGCCTTGCCTTTGTCTTCAGAGAATAATCATCTTGGCATAGATATCATCATGAAATTAATCACATACCCGTGCCGATTCCGTAAAAATGGTACTGCACTGGCATATATTTTGACAAAACATCATTTGCGTTTTATTACATAAACATAACGCTAAGGAACGTGAAATGTCACCACCGGTCTTTCGTACTAAGACGCGCTAAATGTTAGAGTTATACTATAGGCGCTTTAATGAAAAATATTTCTTTATCACTTCAAACGGTCTTTGCTTTTGGTATGAAATAAATAGAATATTAAATGAGTGTAAGTTCATTACTAAATTTATTGAACGAGTTGAATAAAATAATATTATGCTCGCCATAGCTCACATAATATCATTTTATTCAGCTTGTTAAATAAATTCAATATTAAACTTATACACTCTTTCAATATCCTTTATATATTAGATAAGAAGGAAATTATATATGTTGTCAAATGTCTCCAGATAGCGTTATTTTGCATCTATAAATCCAAATTTCCTCGGGGGAAGACCCCCGAACCCCCTACCATTTACAAAGGGAGCGGGCCACGCCGTCCCTTAACCCTCCAGAGGCTCACATAATATATCATTTTATTCAACTCATTAAACAAATTTAGTATCAAACTTACACTATTTCAATATCCTCTATTTATTAGATAAGAAGAGAATTAAATATGTTGTCAAATGTCTCCAGATAGCGTTATTTTGCATCTATAAATCCAAATTTTCTCGGGGGCAAGACCCCCCGAACCCCCTTCCATTTACAAAGGGAGGGGTCACCCCCTCCCTTAACCCGTCAGAGGCTCACGTAATATATCATTTTATTCAACTCATTAAATAAATTTAGTATTAAACTTACACTCTTCCAATATCTTCTATTTATTAGATAAGAAGAGAATTAAATATGTTGTCAAATGTCTCCAGATTGCGTTATTTTGCATTATAAATCCAAATTTTCTCGGGGGAAGACCCCCGAACCCCCTACCATTTACAAAGGGAGGGGGCCACCCCCTCCCTTAACCCACCCCCAAGGCGTATAATTACTTTTGGCCGCGCTTCGCCACTGATTATATATCACGAGGGCGTAGCCCCGAGTGATATAATGATGCGCATCCGAACGACAAACAGTGATGTTATCCAGCGATAAAATCGCCGATTTGGATATATTATTTCGATTCTAACACGACATAAACAAAAAATGCTGCCGTACCTGCTATTAAGCAAAATTGCGCCTGATTTGATTCCGTACTTATTGTCAGCGCGTCGGATTTTATAGTGGTTACGTCACATGTATAATGATTACGTCACATGTCTAAATATAGAGCGTCAAACAGTGACTCCATTGCATAATAACACACACTTTCGGTTCTTCTATGTTCAATAGGGAAAAATGCGGGTCGTGTTAGAATTGAAAACAATGTACATTTATTTTAATGCTATTTATAAAGTTTCATCTTTTGGGGGTTATTTGATATTAAAGACATTCCATATTCAAGTGGGGTGGGTGTATTACTTGTACCTAAATTAAGGATTTTGTAATTCTCTAGAACTACTTTCTTGACCAAGCCTGTTTACGTCCGGATTGAAACTTACTAAAATAATTCAAATGAAATTTCGGAACACCTCGCCTATTACCTATATTCGAGTGTTTTGTTATTATGTGGTATTAAATTATCGGTTTTGATTGGCCTACAGCAAGCGGTATAAGGGTAGAAATGCTAAGTTTCAATGTATAAACATTGACCTACTTTTAATCGTTCAATGTAACTTTAATTTTGATATATTTCATATCATGTTTAAGACATCTCCGTGGTCAATGTTTTGTTCTACCCGTGATATAGCTTACATATAATTCTACACATTAACATTATCAGTTTCAGTGCTTGGGAGTGCATGCACGGCGACCGCTGACTGCGACGTTACGAACTCAGTTTGTACAAACAATGTGTGCACCTGTGCCACTGGTTATAGGGAATCATCAGGCACTTGTGCGCAAGGTTCGTTTTTCCCACAATTTTATTACTTAGTTAATGTTTCGCCTGTTATTACAGGTATTAACGACAGATTTTATCCATGTGAGTTATATGACCCATGCAGTCATAGATCAGCCGGCACATCCTCGCCATGTGATTATGGCCTGCACAGTTCGCTTTTGAGTCACTCCTTCTCAATAACATCATTGAATGGTTATTTGATGGTGATTTGACCATTGTGCCGAACGCCTGTGGTCTATACCGACCATATAAAATGGTTTACGTCACATACTCCGTCATTACATTCATTTTCATTATACATGTATGAATACTTATCAATATTTCAACCATAAAATGTATCATATGTTTGTAATCTTTTAGTTCTAGACGGGAGCTGTACGGAAGATTCTAACTGTACTACGTATTTAAGCAATTCTGAGTGTACGAGTAATACGTGCAGTTGCATTACTGGGTACAAACCGGACAATAATGTGTGCACGACGGGTAATTATTATTTATCAGTTTATGTTCCTTTTTAGCATTGGCAATGTGCTTGATCTGTTCCAAAATATTACGAGTTTTCAGTTTGATCTACACCTATCAAAACCGCTCTAGGTAGAGCAGCGCAATTGTCTTCGAATTCTTTCATGTGGTAAAGTTATCCAGCTAGCTTAAAGAACGTCGGTGTTTCTAGTCAGGTGTCCGTTTGTGACTGAATTAATGCACAGAGTGGCACTTGAGGTCCTCCTCTACCAGTAAAGCCGAAAAGTCGCTATATGAATTATAGAAAAGTCGCTATATGAATTATAGAAAAGTCGCTATATGAATTATACTGTGTTAGTGCGGCCAAAAGATATTAACACTCGCCGTGCAAAATAAGAAAGTGATATTAACTGTCTGACAAAGCTTTATACTATTGGCTGACTTACTTAAAATTGTTTCTTAATACTTCAAGACAAATCCAAAAGAGGAAGAAATAGGTAAGAAATTCAGGAGTTCAATGGTTAAGTATAATGCAATATAATTATATTGTTGTTACTTGATAATGTATAATAGTCGTACTTTAACTTTAACGTCGTTTTTCATTGGATAATCACGACGTTTATATAATCTATATACATAGCTACATTCAATTAATTATGAATGAATTTCATTTTTCTCTTATGAAGAATGTTTGCAGTATTATAAAAGGCTGGGGTTATATGTACAAACAACCGTTTATATTGGGTAATATAACATGTCTAAGATCTGTATAACTAATAATATAATCGATGCTAACTAAATGTATTGCAAACAAGCCTTAAATTAAATGGCGTATAAATTTATGTAACGTTATTTGAAAACAATGTACATTCGTACGTCTTAATAAGAGGGAGAATGTTTAGTAATTGCGAATTGGCAAACATGCCATATTTGGGGGTTATTTGATATTAAAATACATTTCATATTCAAAGTGGGGGTGGAAAATTATTACTTGTCCCTAAATGGAGGATTTTGTAATTCTATAGAACTGCTTTATGAACCCAGTTTGTTTACGTCCGGATTGAAAATTACTAAATAATGCAGACGAATTTTCGGAACACCTCGCCTATTACCTATATTCGAGTCCCCAACAAAGATCGGAAGTTTTGGTTGTAGACTTATTTATATAAAACTGGACGTGTGTGTTTAAATTGGCAATATATTGTTTCAGTTTATCACGGCGGCTGTGGAAATATTTCGGATTGTAACACTCACATGCCAAACACTAATTGTGATTCTAATTCACTGCTATGTGTATGCGACACAGATTACACCTATGACTCAGAAAGCGTAACGTGCCAGGCAGTGGCGACCACGGCCCCAGCCCCTGATAACACTACCGCAACGCCTATTGGTAAGTAAATACTGTTACCACCTAAATACCACGGCACAAATAGGACCACTCCGCTACTACGGTAAAAAATGTGCCTTCTTTAAATATTCCTTGAGTATTTATTGAGAAAAATTATCAATTTATACAGTGGTCTCAATATTGAGAATTTACTGTATACATACAACATAAATAACAAGAATTAGCGTCTCCAAAAATGTCAGTCGTCGGGTGTTCGATTGTTTGTGTGAAATAGACTTCTTCCGAAACAAATTTTAAAGAGCTAAAGTTTTATTCTTTCCTATATATCATTTACCCCGTAGGAACCCACACACGAGTTCCGAGCTTCGTACATGAAGAAAAAAGTACGAAAAGGTAGGAAATGTAAGAAAACTTGAGAAAATGTAATGAAAACTAGAGAAAAAGTAAGAAAACTTGAGAAAATGTAAGAAACTAGAGAAAATGTAAGAAAACAAGAGACAATATAAGAAACTAGAGAAAATGTAAGAAACTAGAGAAAATGTAAGGAAACTTGAGAAAATGTAAAAACTAGAGAAAATGCAATGAAAACTAGAGAAAATGTAAGAAAACTAGAGAAATGTTAGAAACTAGAGAAAATGTAAGAAAACTATAGAAAGTGTAAGAAACTAGAGAAAATGTAAGAAACTAGAGAAAATGTAAGAAAACAAAGGAAAATGTAAGAAACTAGAGAAAATGTAAGAAAACGAAGGAACATGTAGGAAACTAGAGAAAATTAATGAAAACTAGTGAAAATGTTAGAAAACTAGAGGAAAAGTAAGGAAACATGAGAAAAAGTACGGAAACGTAGGAAAATTTAAGAAACTAGAGAAAATGTAAGAAAACGAGGGAAAAGGTAAGAAAACTAGAGAAAATGTAAGAAAACGAGAGATAATGTATGAAAACCAGGGAAAATTTAAGAAAACTAGAGAAAATTTAAAAGTAAAATATTGTGAAGTAGATCACTAACAATAGACATCCAATTCCAAAAAAAGATATCAAAACATGTCAAATAGCCCTTATTGCGTGAGTGACACAGTATAAATGTGATGATAAATACTGAAAAGAAGCCATTAATCGCAAACTATAATATATTAATTATTACTTGAATCTTGAATAATTTTCAGTTGTAATCTAAGTTATTTTGCTTCAAGTTTGATTTTCTTGAAATATTTTGGCCCAACTTAAGGCATGAAGTTTTAACACAGTTAAATCGTTATCGATATTTAACGAAATTGTCAACCAACTCATGCAACCACTATGTAACTACTCTACATTTATTATGATAGATCCTGTGACACATTTTTGTATGGTTTTAAGTCATAAATATGTTGCTCAAATTAAGATTTATCAATATTTTAGGTTTCAAAATTCATTATTTATTAAAATGTGACCGAATTTAACATTTCATGAAAATAAAGGGAGGTAATAATAACTTTCTATATTAATTTCTATAAAGTTTAAGTCAAATTTTACAATAAGGAATGAATGCATATATTTTAATGATTACATATAATATGCACACTCAGATATTTGCAGCAAGTATTCTACATATTCTTCGATGTTTGAAAATTGTTTATTTGCATAATTATGTACATATATATTATATATATATATATATATATATATATATATATATATATTATATATATATATATATATATATATATATATATATATATATATATATATATATATATATATATATATATATATATAATTTCACTTAGTGTGGGTTTACCACTTTGATCACAACATACAGGATCTTTAACATCTAAAGAATAAACAGTTAGAAATACATATGTGACAATAAAAGTGTTTTTTATGTCATTTCGGGATTTCGATTTTCATTATGTTAATTTTGAGAATCATTAATTCTTTTTTGAGACTCAGTGATTTATTACAGGTTATGGTGAACAATGTTCGGCAACATCTGAGTGTGTGGCCCATTCATCATGCACGCGCGGCACGTGTTCTTGCAATGCGGGCTACAAAACCAACGGAACTATGTGCCAGAAAAGTAATTTGATTAACACTCTTAAATATCTATCTCAAACTCTTATATAAGTACTTGTTCTCTCTTAGCATTTGATACAGTCATTATCGCGTTGGCCAATCGATCAAGGTTATTTCTAGCAAAACAGAGAGTTCGCACTATTAAAGAAAAAAAAAACACCGGAAAAAACGTGTTTGGATACATTTTTTTTGATTCAACAAAGTTCTTTACTGAATCTCTCATAGTCCTGTCCGTACGGTGGGACAGACGGGACATCGGAATTATTATTAATCACTTATCAGTTTAATTTGTTAAATACCACTTGCCCGTATCAACCACATACGTGCGCACACATGCTATACCACGCTTGATCTTAACTTTTAATTAACACATACGTGTACATGTATTGATACATACATAAGAGTAATAGACATGCTTACTCGTGTAGTTAGCACGTGTGCACGTAATAAGTAACACTTGTTAACTACCACGAGGGCACGCGATCATTTTCGATGTCATCTGTATAAATCGTTGTCAGCGAGATTATGTTTGAACTATCTGTTGTATACATGTAACCTGACATATACTATGTGTATTGCAGTAATTGGCGGACCTTGTGTTTACACATCCCAGTGTACATACTACGAACCCAACTCCAACTGTATAATCGGTTCATGCAAGTGTCTGGACGGGTATTATGAGACAGAGGTGCTTTGTTCGAAAGGTATTAATTTTATAGGATTTTTCAGTATTCATTACCAGTTAAACATGTTAATTATGGTGAGGCCGCATTGTCAGCCATGCTTGAGCTCCCCCTTAGTGGGTCCAAAGTGAAAGTAGGACAATGTTCAAGAAAAAGCTCACAGTGTAAACTGATGAACAATTTGAAATTACACTTCCAAGTCTATATTTAAGGACTAGTTTACATGAAACAACAACAACAACAACAACAACAAAAATCAACAAGAATAATTACATTGAATGTGCTAATTTTATAAAAAGCAAGTAAAGTCTTTTGTAGGGTTTTATGCGCATTTCAGGAATAACAAAATCCAGTTTTTAGTGTGTTGTAGTGCAGTGGAATGCAACAGACATAAAGAACTTGTAAACTCTTTAACAACGAAAAACAACGACAAGAAGAACCCTATTTTATGCGCAACAAAGCACTTTGCCTCCATTATTGTATGTAAAAAGTAGTACAAGGAGGCAATCACCGAAAACAACTATTTTTTTTTTAATTCATGTCTGTCATGTATACGATGAATAGATTTATAAAATGTGTTTATTTCCCGCCCGGAAGGGCAGTTTTAAGTCGACCTTGACTAGTTAAAACTGTAGGGTCGACACCTGCCTTCATACGGTCAGCATGTCTTTAAGTCAAGTATTTTTAAATAAATTACCGGAACTTTATTTCAACAACATCCTGGTGATATAGTATAAATATTTCTTTTCAGGGGGACAAGCGCAGACCTTCAGCTTTTTGGTAGTCATTGCTCATGTTATATTTGTTGCTATGGTAACGAAGCGTTTACCTTCATCTTTTTAAGGTGGATGATAAACAAAAAAGAAATGTGGTGATTTAAAGAATAGTTAATCCAATTATGTTTTGCATGCTGAATACAAATAATGCATGGATTGTGAAAATAGTAAACATACTGACACTGGATATTCTTTGAAGTTTTGTTGACTCGCCTTTGGCGTTCTGCTTGCTTTTCTCGCTCACCTGACTCGTTCGCCTTTGACATTGGCTGTAAAATTGGCAATTATTGTGTCACAACATTGTATCATCTGCATTGTTGAATCATTTTAATCATTGTACTTAATCGTTGTAACAGATCATTTGAAATATATTTTATGCTAAGCTGTTGATTTGTAACAAGTAGACACATTTTCATATAAGTCGCCGAAAAGGCGACTGGTCGAAGAGGCGAAAGGATATCATTTTCTATCTTTTCGTGTTTTTGACATTTTACTACAAAGGCTAAAACTTGCAATGTCTGTGAATAGAAACACGGTGGGGAATCACGTGACCTTTACGGTTACGCGTACAGACAATATGTCGGCATAAAAACATCGATTCACATGTGTTTTTCAGAGAAAATTCGCCATCTGGAGATTGTACATTTGACTTAGGATGAAAATTCTTCTTAATGAATTCGTGTCATTCTAGTTTGTACAGTAACAGTTACAAAGAAATATTTTCATATGCAGATATGTATAAATATGTATATAAAATGCATCATGCTTCATCGTTTTCTGACCCCGTTGCAATAACTCTATAATCAATTTTTTATAAAATGTATTGACAAACTTTGATGAGTTCTACCAATCAGATTGAATCTGAGGTAAAAAGGTCAACGGTCAAGGTCAATGTAACTTTTATTGCGTAAAATGTTAAGGTTATATTGACCACGAAAACAACCTGTGATAAAATATCACAAGGGCAGATAATCCTAAAGTTATACACCTTTTTTTCAGATAGATTTTTGTTGACCTGCTTAACCTGTTTGTTTTGGTTAATATCTCAAAGAATATCAAAGATATTCACTTCAAAGTTGGATTATTATTCACTTCAAAATTTGAAAGGCATATCTAAAGGACAGACAACCCCAAAGAATATATTGACTAAATTATCTCCCTTTTATTTCTTCATAACAATTTCTTTATCAAATATTCTAATCATTTTCTCATAAAATCACCAATATTCTCTTCTAGCTTGAAATACTTGTTGAATTACTAAGGAAATATATTTGGTAAACAGTATATCAGAATTATGTCCCTTTTTCTTCCTCACTTTAAATTACCATACTATCAAAGTATCAAATACAGAGAAAAGTGGGCAAGCTGCTCCTTGGACAGCTTTTGTTAAATTTTAACTAAAAAACTTGAATCCTTGCTGAAAGTTAGGCAAGTTCATTTAAGATATTTAGCGTAGTAAGCATTGCTATATTAATCTTTAAATTATTATGATGCTAAAACCGTTCCCATTGTATGTCTAAATTCAATTTTAAAGGGGTTTGTTCTACAACGGGCACATTTTCCAGAAGTATTTCAAATATTGATCGAAAACAATAGAAATGTATTATTTGGATATTTGTATAATATATTCCTTGAAAACTGTTGATATTAAAATTCTTAGTGATTTAGTATGGGCATTTTTAGGATGAATAATAATATTTTATTCTAGAAGATTTTATTATTTGCTATATTGATAAATGTTTGTTATATGTTTGATCAGATCATGTATCTCACAGTTGCTGACAATATACGTATAAATTTATTTCGTGGTTTGTTGTTATGTCTAATACTAAATGCTGTCAACGTAATAATTTATTGTATTACGGACCTGCGGGTTCCCCGGGAGATGCTTTGGTAGTTTAGCGCGCAGGAAGGTAGTCTAGTACTGGTGTAACTCTCAGGAAACTACCCACCTAAATGACTGAAGTACTGAAAAGGGAAAAGGCGTAAAATAAAACAAACAAACAGTATTACGGACCTTCCACTGTAGATCAATTCTCTTTAACGTAAAAAGTTAGTTGATGAAATTATTTTTCTTCTATGTTTAATGTTTATACGTACATGTATAGTATTATGCGTATTTATGTGTCTTAGAGTTTATTTAAAGTATCAATATTTACAATTTATATAGCTTATTTACCTTAACGTTTAGTTAATTAACGTAACTTAAGACCGTTTGTTTTCATTAGAATTTAAAAGAGATATAATTTCTATGCACACTATTTCGGTTGAATGAAAACGATTGTTCGGTAGTGATGTCATAAAGCTAAGCGGATTTCACGCAGCAGACGACACTTGTGCCACGCTTCATATTTGATACATTTTTATTTTATTTGACTTCATACTGAAATATAAATTACATGTTCTGAAGTTACATTATCAATTTATATTCATGAAGAGTAAAGTTTACTCAAGAGTAGAATTTATATGTTTTTGTAATTATATACATGCACTTTTAAAATGAATTTTCTAGGATTAAAGAACGGGCGACGATCGAGTTGCAATACAGTAATGAGTGGCTTTCGATATTTACTTATCGCGATATTCTTAACGATAATCGTTCAGCAAGGTTTCAATTGGTCGATATCACACAGAACATTAAATAGAATTTCGAAAAATGCACAGGAAAATGAAGGTAATGTTTGTTAATTAATTAATTAATTAATTAATTAATTAATTAATTAATTAATTAATTAATCTATTAATTTTTGCTATGATTTTACGAATACATGTATTTGGATTGCCTGTTTAAATGATAATGATGATAATAATAATAATAATAATAAAATGATAATGATAATAATAATAAAATGATAATGATAATAAGTCCTTTGGGACTTTGCAATTTAAAAGACTTCCTCATAAATTTTGTGTACTGTATTGGCTGAATTTAGAAGTAGTCCGGCATGACACCAGTGCAAATATGGAAAATAGGTTTTACTGCAGTAAAAAATAAGTGAAAATACAGAAAATAAAAAATAAGCGTTTTATTTCATCAATATTTCATTAATAAGCATATGAAAATTTATTAAATTTATCCACCATCAGCCTACATTGTACATTAATCGTGTACGTTTCCAACAAGGTCAGGCTTTACTGAAACACTGCAATATACCTTTTTGCGATAAAACTGTCGTATAAATACAGAGTATTGTTTCTACTTTAGCAATTCTTGCAATGAAAATGATTATTAATGATTTTTATTTTTACTTTTGCAGTTTGGCAGGACTACCGTGACAAACGCCATGGACGCTCACAATTTTGGCATAATTTCACATTCACCTCCAACGTTAAGAAACAAATGTGCAGCGACAAGGTAAAATGGAAAACTAAAGGAATTTTAGCGGAAGTGACGTCAGATATGGAATACTGGACTTTCGACAAAAGACGGACTTGTAAAGAAATAAATATTAATAAAGTTGGAACTCGTCCAAAGCGTCTGAAAATGGAATTTATATGTAAAAACAATAAAATATCTTTTAAATGGACAAATGACACAAATAACATTTATACCGCTCCATTTGGGGATAATTGCATAGAAAGATTTATCTCGAGCTGTTGCTATGGCGATAAGCTCGTGCCGAATGTAGTCCATTATGTTTGGTACTCGCGAGGCGAGCTGAGCTTCGTTGGATTCATGAGCCTGCTAAGTGTGATTCGGTTTGTGAACCCTTGTCTTATTATATTTCATGGTGACACCTTACCAAATGGGAGATACTGGGATTTTATTGTAAATATTTCGCCTAACTTGATTCACTTGCAACGGGAACGGCCAGAATTCGTTTTCGGACAACGGTTTGGTCATAATGAGCACTCTGGGGACATAATGCGAATTGAAGCTCTTCTTCAATATGGCGGTATTTACATGGATACCGATACCGTCCTTGTACGGCCGATAGACGAGCTACGGCAGTACGCATGCGTGATGTCAACACAACTGCGTAGACTGGGTTCAGCATTTATCCTGGCAGAGAAGAATGCGACATTTTTACAGAAATGGATGGACGGGTATCGCTATAAATATAATAGGCTTGATTACACATACAATGCTATGACGTACCCACAGATCCTCGCCCTAAAATATAGCAACTTGATTCATGTAGAGATTGGAACTGCCTCAAGACCTAAGGATCTGTTTGGTTTTAAGTTTTATAGCAGACGATACGAGATGTATAATTGGTCCAAGGTTTACGGAGTGCATTTATTTACCAGAGGTTACGGCGGACCTTTAAATGAAACGACTATTAGAGACATGCATTCACCATGTGGTTCAGTTATGAGACATATATTTTATGGGAATAAGGATTTATGTTTTTAGTCAACAATTACAGCTTCTTTAACATCGAGCTCTACAACACAGGGAATATACATGTACTTAATAATTAACGCCTGGAGGATAAACCGTAATGTGCAGAACAGAGTTAATACAACTTTTATAGATTGTAGTCTATTTATTCTACCCGTGGAACCGAATAATATTAAATAGAGACTCGCTATCTTTGGGTTCGAATTGCGCAAGAAAGCGATATACCCGGTATTCGACTTATGGAAAGTTAGTGATTCTTTTCAATTTCCGGCTCGTGTCTTAAGTGAAACTAAAATGCCATCAGAATGAAAATTACAATCACAAAGTGGCATTTACATAAATCCCAAACTGTCATACAAAATATTAACCTGTTTGCATGCTGATTGTGTGTAATGAGCTTGTCCTGCTTTAAAAATGGAGCAGTCCATTTAAAGTTTAAGGTATTTTATCATCAATATACAAAATCATTGAGCTACTAACACTATAAAGCCATGCTCTTTTTGTGGTAATGGCTAACCTATTTGTTTCCAGCAGACGAAGGACTAAAACAAATGGCTACTAGTGGACGCATGCCTATTCACATTATAAGGTTTTTAAGTGGCACCATGGTTGCTATTTTTTCGTTAAATGTACGATATGGGAGGTACTGGGATAAATTTTAACGCATTTATTTTCAGACAGATTGAGAAAGTAGCGGAAGTTTTAAAGTTATTGTGAAGTTTCTGTGAACAGCATTAAGCTATACCGCGCTTTATTTTAGCTTTTGGTTCTGATTGTAAAAAGGCTAAAATTTAAAATCATTTTGTACTGAAATGACGTAACAGGGCTTTTATGGCATGACAAATAAACAATTGGCTTTGTAATTCGAACGAAGTAACTGCTTTGGACAATTGCATCAGTTACATTTGAGAGTGCGATTGTAAAATCAAACAGTCATTTTCATTTGATTTAATCTGGTACATGTATTAATTAAGATTTCACATTTGTTTAGTATAAGATTTACATTATTATGTATGCCTTTACCATGCACCAATCATTTATTGTTATGTATGTTACTAAGGGTATTTACTAATTATCCTTTAAAATACCATATAGTTGTACTCATGTCTGTTGTGTAAATGGAGTGATAAAAATACTACTAGCATTCTTTTTATATTTTTACCATCGGAATTCATTAAGACAAGACGTAATCTTAACCGTTGAATTTAATTTTATTACGGTAACGTATTTGCGGCAAAAAAGCGCTAACAGCACTTTCAGTGCTTTGATTATCCTAACAACTGAGTTAATATGGTGGCTGGTTAACGACATGTTGAATTGTCGGTAACACAAAGATACGACAATGTTCAAAAATCAAAAATTAATACATGTACTTGCAATAGTTTAAAATAGCTTTTTGTTCGGGAAAGAGTCTATTTCAAGATAAATATTTTAAGAATGTTGATATACAAAGAGTGCTAGCTTAATTCATGAAATCGTTTGTTTTGTTGTCGTTCAACTGTGATTGTAGGTATCAGTATGTTTTACATATGCTCCATCGGGGCAAGTTTCCCTAATTATGTTAAATATATTTTTCTCAAATTGCAACTATTAGCAGCCTATGTTGAACAGATATTGCTTAAACTAACAATAAAGTTGATCACGCACATCGCTTATCAATTTTGCTCAGACTGGTTTACAGTTAAGCAATGCTAAAAAGTATTTTATTATTGTAAATACAGAACCAGACGGGAAAACGCGAGTTTTTTTTCCAGCGCGCCTAATTTGATTTGCACAATTTGTAAGTATCGTGTATATAAACTCAAATTGGTAATTGTGTGCCCTTACGTGACTGGATGTCGATCCCGTACATTTTAGGAAATTATATATAATGCGGATGAAATTTTGGTCGTGGCGCAATTTAAATAAATGAAGTCACTTCAATAATGCAATGTAAACGGTTTAATCTGCAAAATCAAATTTGACTATGTTAATATTTACTTGCTTCCCGAGTGGACAGAAATAGATAAGTATTAGAAAGAGCATCGAAACACGAGGGGCGTAGCACCCGTGTATACATCAGATTGCCGAGTGTTTTGATGTTCTTTCTCTTTTGCATCTTATGCAAAATTAAAACACGTTCCCTGTTGTCACAATATAAAACTCTAGAGAAAAGTAACTTATGAACGAGCATCTGAATATGATATTTCTATCGTTATGCATTTCTCTGTCGTCACAATTAGTAATTAAACGCCAGAAAAAATGAGCCAATCAATCGGCGGTAAGTATTAACTACACTCTAGTTATCGCAATGAGCAACAGAAAGGTGTCCAAACTATGATACAACATCTGTTACTGTATAATCAAATCATTGTAGATCATTATGTTGATACATGACCATTCTTTATAATATGATTTTCTTCAATATTGACACCTTAAACAACCTTCCAGCATGGTCAAAAGAGAAAAGTATTGGAAAAATCAGAAGCCAGATGTGCGCTGAATTTGTAGCAAATTGAAGACGAACTTCATCACTTTAGAGAACGGTATATACATGTACAATATATGTATTTATTATTCATATCCTACTTTGTTAACTGATTCCCTGGAGATATCTTAAATTATCAGTCATGTATCATCAATATATTATTATGATCACAATAACACGGTCACTTTGTTTACGGATATTGGTAAAAAATCCGGAAATAGCCTATGGTCAAATATCCCATATTATTGTCCAACAGTATTGACCTGAAACTTCATAAACTTTCGCAAAGGTCATTTGAATAAACATTGGCCAGTATCTATCGAATACATCTATATATTTGCTTACTTCACTCGTTAGTAAGGTGTGGTGTATTGTATCTGTCGGACTACCGATCTGAATGTCGCCGGTTCGAATCCTTACCAACACCACGTTATACATTTTAAAAAAAAAATATTTGCAAGAATTAATTTTAAATCGTTTTACTACACGTGGTTTAAGAATACCTTTTAAGTGGTGATTTATACACATTTATATATTTTTATTTCATTACAGTATCTTTCATCGGTTCTCCAATCGTATATGCTTAAGCGCATACACACTCTAAAGGTAGTTATTAAAAACACTACATAGGCAGTACACACAACAGTTTTAGGTTTTAAGAGAATGACAGTTTTAAAATTAATATTAAAAAAAAATCGAAAGGAAAAAAACCGCTGAAATATGATTCGAACCTACCAGTCCTCAAGGCTTAGTGAAATCCCTTTACCAAAGCGGTAAGAGGGATTATTGATTTACACCATTTAAACAATTGGATATTTACATTCACTACGACTTACAAGTAGATCGTCACGTTCAGGGCTGGGAAACAAAACTGCGTCGTATCCTACAAAATGTAAACAAACGCCGCCATCTTGGAACGAAAAATGTATGTTTTTGTTTATAACTCTTTTTGTTGGAAATGACTGAAAACCAGATATATGTATTAACACGCTACACTATTTTCCGCTTCGTTCGGTATATGTTGCTTGCACAACTATTTTGTAAAACAAAAGTTATAGCGAACTTGCAACTCGAAGCGGGGCAGAATTTTTATGAAATTGTGTGGATACGACGCAGTTTATCTATCGTTTTCTCTTTTAAATCAATTATTTACTCGTTTTCAGAATTCACCATAAACTTCAAAACATAATTTTGCATCATCTACTAAACTTTCATTAAAAAGATATGTTTATTTTCCAAGAAAATAATGTTTTTACGAAATGATACGACGCAGTTGAAAATAAAATATGATACGACGCAGTTGTATTTTCATTGCAGGCTGCATATTGGTTAAACTATTTTAATTATGTGCTAGGTATGCTAATAACGTTCAACAACATTTCTTGTTTACAACTTAAGTCAAAAGCAGAGGTCACTCATTGGTTCCATAAAAATGGAAATGTAATACAATTCTATTAAGGCTGCATTTTTTGGTCGCATTTTAGTACAAATCATAAGCATCTACAAATTCCGAAAAGCTGTATCAAATGCAATATACATTGAAATCTTGATCGCACACCCATATGACAACGTGTTCCAATGTTGCCTTATCATGCTTCTAAAATTGTTCCCGTGAGTTCGAAATGGGAGTGATTACTATTTTTGATACAAAATTCAATATTCCAGTGTAACCTCTCCTGGACCCTGTATTAATCAAGAATGACCCTTAAAATTCCGCTTGCATGCCTACTTTTGTAACTTGTAATTAGCCATCATTTTCATCGATTCCGTTATTACTTATGTCTTTTACGTGCCGATTTATTGTATTCATTTTCTTAATAATCGGTGAGAACAGGTGATCTTTATTATTTGAAACTGAACATTAAATTGTTAAAATTATAAATGGTTAAGCTACAATACATTTTTGCAAGTAGGTTATGCGTTCCGTTAAGTCATTTTATGTTCAGCGCGGCGGAACTTTACCACTGATTTTGTCGTACATGTATTGCATTTCTTTATCGCCGATGAGAAAAGGTCTACGGAATGTATTTTCTATATTTGCACTTAAGTATCATTCTTCTCCATTAAAAAACTTTAAATTTTCAAAATCGAGTTACATATGATACAACTATACATAATTTTGGGAAGAAGGTGTCCATTTTGCAAAGGTATTTTACACTTTGCACCCGTAAATTGGATACAGATATAGGCAGACATCATTTTTCAATAGTATTGGAGAAGTTTCCACAATTTTGAACAGAAAATTTAGGTCAGATTATCGCATCGAATTTTCAACAGACTAGAGACATGACATCTTAACATACCTTTATACTAAAGTGTGATTTTTATTTGATAATGAATTGCCTGAAAACTTAAACAAAAGTTTTCAGAAAATGACTTCACAGAGGATAACCCCCTGTTTACATTGAACATTTCTCTGCTAGTCATACCGAAATAAGAAATTTAAATGTTATTTATAATTAATTCAAATATTTATAATCTTAAAACTTCATACCAGAAGTTAATAAAAAGCTGTTTATTTGTACAGCTGACGTTAACAAATTTTGTTGAAAAAAAAAAACAAAAAAAAAAACAAAAACAAAAAAAATCAGGTGTGTCTGACCAAGGCGTTTATGTTCACTTGAACTGAACTGCTATGAATTCGAAAACCACCAGGGATTTTTTATTCTTTCGTGCGGAAAACCTATCAAGCTAGTTTCAAAATGTCGATGGTTCTCTGCAGGTGCAACATTTTGCCTGAAATAATGCACAAAGGTGCACCTGAGGTCCTCGCCCCTAGTAAAGCTAATGTGTAGAGTGAAAGTTTGAAAACAAACAACAAAAAGCAGTCATTACCCAGGACATGCAGAGCCACAGTTAATCTAGAGCGTAGATAGCCAAAATGATTTCAAGTTAATAGATTTCTACATTTTTTGCGGAAAAATAGGGATAATATTGAACATACAGGAAAATATGAGAAATTATTTCAGATATTATGATCAATTAGGTAACTGAAAAGAGTAGCTTCCGCAATGTAAACTTTCAAATAAAATGTTATATTGGACATGACACAATGTATTCTAACAGAACATTTTTTTTATCTAGCGCAAGTGATTATTCCATTAAATAGAAATATATTGCCAAAATTATCCCTGTTGAAAAGACTGCCAAAAAAACAACTGCGTCGTATCATATTTTATTTTCAACTGGGTCGTATCATTTCGTAAAAATCATTATTTTCTTAGAAACTAAACATCTCTTTTTAATGAAATTTTGATAAATGATGCAAAATTATATTTTGAAGTTTATGGTGAACTCTGAAACAAATATATAATTGATTTGAAAGAAAAATCGATAGATAAAGCAATTATCCACACATTTTCATAAAAATTCTGCCCCGCTTCGAGTTGCAAGTTCGCTATAACTTTTGTTTTACAAAATAGTTGTGCAAGCAACATATACCGAACGAAGCGGAAAATAGTGTAGCGTGTTAATACATATATTTGGTTTTCAGTCATTTTCAACAAAAAAAGTTATAAACAAAAACATACGTTTTTCGTTCAAAGATGGCGGCGTTTGTTTACATTTTGTAGGATACGACGCAGTTTTGATTCCCAGCCCTGACGTTTACGGAATACATCGACTACAGGGTCAAATACAAGTTTGCAAGGTCAATGCTGCTATTCTAGTACGTTGTTAATGTCGTTTGACGTGTGGGCATTCGGAAAACCTCATATGTTATCCATAGGCCTTTAATGAACTATGACGGAAATGACCGAAAAGTTGCAATTGCGGCAATGTCAAAATTAAACATTTTACTAAACAATTATAATGGAGGTTGTCTTACCATCTTAATGAATGTAATATTGCCATAGCACCAAAAGCCATCTAAACTGCTA